TTCTACATTATGCGGGGTCTACAATAGAAGTCGTAGCAGTCGTAGGGTCTTAAGTCGTAGAAAATTAACCAATCACAGTTGATTATTCTTCTCATATTCGACTGTGATTGGTCAATTTTCTACGATCTATCGTAGACCCCGCATTAGTCGCATCGCAATGTTGCAAGCGTGTCGCAAGCGTTATGATCCAATCAGAGTTGAGCTAGCTTGATGTTGATTGGACCGCAACGCTTGCGACGCTGCGATATAACTAATGTAGAACCAGCTAAACAAAAATAACCGTGTCATAACCTACCTTTAATTTATAAATAGTGATTAATTTGTTTGAAAACCATTTTGAAATTAGAAATGCATCATGCATCTTTGATATATATTATTATTGCAAATACAACAAATGGTCTGTTTTCTGATGTGCACTAGACTGCACTAGAATTCTTTTTTCACGTAGTTGCGGATTACGTGAAATATCTGCCGTACATATGCAATCCCTAGATGCTTTCGTTCATACTAACTTGCCGCATTAGTATGAACGAAAGCATTGAAATCCTATGGTTGAACTTTACCGGCACTAGCATAAGTTAACGGTTAGTCCGGATCTACAATAGATGTTTTAAGCTTAAGCTGTAAGAAATTGACCAATTACAGTCAAATCCGAGAGGAATAATCGACTGTGATTCGCCCATTTCTTATGACTTAAGGCTTAAAACCCTATTGTAGATCCGGAGTTACTCTGGATCTACAATAGGTGTTTTAAGCCTTAAGTCGTAAGAAATTGATCAATCACAGTCGAATTTGGGGAGAATAATCGACTATGATTCATCCATTTCTTATGGCTTAAGGCTAAAAACTCTTGTAGATCCGGGGTTACGGCCATTATAAATCAGGTTTTAGGCTTAAAACTCTATCGTAGATCCGGAGTAACGCGCTCAGTGAAAGTGAGGCTTTATTTTCTTGCCCGTCGTGGCGCGTCGGCTTGCTTGAGAAACGAAAACGTGATCCGTGCCGCCACCGCTAGATGTCAGGCCGGCGCGAGACGGTCTGGCTCGCTGTATGGACGGCCACCATTGTTGAAATACTGATTTGGTTGATGCCCCGACGATTTTGGGGCTGAAAATCGTAAAATCGTCCGTGGCGATAGGCGATAGGGTTTCGTTGCGGTAGGTGCATGAAAAGTTTGTTGTTGCGTACGCGGCTGTGTGTATGTATGTGTCGTTTCTGCCGTTCCATTTCCATGCCGAGTGATCGGGGCCGATGACGATCGGTCCACGCACTTTTCGGACCTTCGTCGTGTGATCATCGTCGACAACGTTGGCGTCTCGGTGGTAGTGTGGTAACGAGCCCTCGTTGTAGAATCGGGAAAACGCAAGTGAAAATTATACTGTGCGCCCGCGCGATAATCGCGCGAAGGGCCAGGGGGGGGCGCGGCGTTCCGGCGCGCTCTCGCTACTCTGTCGTCTCTCTCCGACTCTCCGTGTGTGCGTCGTTGTGTCGGTTGTGTGGTTTTTGGCTGGCGCGATCGGCGCGCGACTCCGTACACACAGGAACGCGTTTACGATCTGTGCGCTCTGCGCTCGTGTGATTCGTGTCAGTGCGACATCAAAAAGCGTGCGTATCGTCCCGTGTTGTTCCGTTCTTTCTTCCTCCTTCTTGCTCGTCGTTTATTCCTTCTCTCCTATCGCCGTGATCACCGTCGTTGTCGCCGGTGGGCAAGACGACGCCGTGCGTAACGTACGTGCGTTACATTCATCTTTCGCGCATCGTGTATGCTGCGTGCGTGCTGCGCGCTTGTGTGTGTGTGTGTGTGTGTGTGTGTATGTGTGTGTGTGTGTGTGTGTGTGCGTCTGTGTATGTGTCTGACTGTGTGTATCTCTGTGTGTTTATACATCTGTGTACGTGTGATACGTGGATTCGCTGTTGCTGCTATTACCGCTACCGGTTTGTTCCGTCTTGTCGCTGTGATTTACCCGGTGACTACTCGCGGTGTACATATATATACTCGCGGCGGTTATCGTGCACCATCGTGCACGCTTCGGTCAGCGATGACACGCGGCGGTGCTCCTTCAGAAACGTTCGTCGGCACGGAGTGCGTGGACCACGGGTGCCTCCTTCCTGCGTCTCCCCCTCTTTTTCTCTCTCCTTTGTCTGTCCCTCCCCCCCCCCCCACTCTCTCTCTCTCTCTCTCTCGCTCGCTCGCTCGTTCATGACACGTCTTAAGGCCCGTCTACAACACAAGTAAGCTTGGTTTAAGAAGAGTAAGAAATAAAATTAATTTATTTCGCTTACGCCTATTCTAAACTCTTAACTCTACTCGTTAAACCAAGCTTAATTACGTGTATTGTAGACGGGCCTATGGGTCTAAGCGGAATAAATTAATTTTATTTCTTACTCTTACTTCTTAAACCAAGCTTACTACGCGTATTGTAGACGGACCTTTACTCGCGCGTGCATAGGTGTCCGCACGACAACGCTATCGATGTGTACGGCCGCGCGAGTGCACAGTAAGTGTACGTGCACGGTAAATGTAAGTACGGGATAAACGTGTTCGGCACCACTGCCGCCGTCGTCGCTAGCCTTTCGTGTATGCATGCCGTGCTCGTTCTTTCGATATCTCCGTTTCTCTCCTACCCTGTAAACGGCGCGGTGCGTGTCATTGGGATCGCGAGCCGCGATTCTCGGAGCAGCGAGACTCCGGTGCATGTGATACCGGGTTAATCCTACGTACATACAGCACAGATCGTTCCAGCAACATTGCGACGTTTTAGCAATGTTGCAGTAACATTGCAAACGTTGCAGCAATGTTGCACCGCAAGCTTTCGTACGTACGTCCTCTCGTGAATATCACCACAATAGCGATATTGACGTCCGTGAGGACAACGATGACAACGTGGAGCCAGAGATCGCGGCGGACCGTTAGGCACCGATCACCGTAGTTTTCCGTTTTTTCGAAACCTCATTCTACTCCTTTCCACCTCGTTTTCTCCTTTTCCAAGCGTCAACGTTGATAATACGATTGCCACGTTACTTCTTCACGAATGCCGATGAGTCGACGGTTTGACGCATTTTTCCGATGTGATGACACGATTTGGAAAAAAAAAAATATATCCGACAGAGTGGCAAATCACAACGGACGCGTCGCGAAATGCGTCGGTCGTTCATCGTGGTTATGCTCGAAAACGCACGAGCTAACGATTCGCCGATACACGTAGTGGATAATAGCTGTTTTGATAGTCGGTGTCAATGGGTCGTATGAATAAAAGCAAAGTGAATGTTCTTGATGGAAGGTGGAAGCGTGAGACGTGTGTCTGTGTGTGTATTTAATAGCGAATTCGGTCACTTGCATTATAGCTGAAAGCTGCTGTACGTGAAATTAGCATGACGAAGTTAAATGTAAAAATATTTAGGCTCGATTGCACCAACAATGTTACTTTGACTTTAAGCAAGACTTAAAACTCTCTTTCTCTCTTTTTAAAATCGAGAGAAAGAGACAGAGGGAGAGAGTTTCAAGCCTCGCTTAGTCAAAGTAATGTTGGTGCAATCGGGCTTTAAATATCTTAAACCATTAAATACCCAGCAATGATATTATATATTACGTTATTTAACAGAATATACATGTATTATTTTATTATCAAAGTTAATTATATTATGCTACTGCATTTAGATACTTTATATAAAGCAACCTTTAATATATACTAATTTAATAGCAAATTCGCACTAGAGAGCGCACTAATTTCGTTATTGTATGATATATTGATTTAATCTAAATGTAAAAATGAATATAAAAGTGAAATGCAAATACTTTTAATTATAAAATATATATTTTATTCAGGATTAAGTTAAAAAGTTAAAAGTTAAGTTAAAAGGCTGTAAAGTTAATTAATTTTAATTTAAGTTACATTGTAGACGCTTAACTTTTTAATTTAATTTAATTACTTTAGTTATTTTGTCGGTAACTGTTAACTTTTAATTTGACTTTTTTGAAATTAATCTCAGACCCAATGCCAAAGGATAATGAGTATATAATTTAGTAATCAACTTAACTAATTCAATTAATTTCATTATGGCCTTGTATCTTTTAAATAGATTAAATTTTCAAGGCTGTTAACTTTAACTTAACTAAGTTAAGTTAATCAGGGTAGGGACTGATTTTATTTAATAGTACAATAGAATGTATAGGGGGATTTAACCTGTTTTTATAATTATAATTTAAACATACATCTTTAATCAATTTGTGAATGACAGCACCAGTGCTCACTAAGGATGCGTTTCGAGTTGCGCATGAAACGCGTGATGTATTGTTTTATTCTTTTTTATTATTTGGTGAACAACAGGGACAAATAATGCATCATGCGCTTCATGCGTAACTCGGAACGCATCCTAAGAGTGTCCAATCGAATTCACTATAAGTAGTGCAAGTAACCAAATTCACATTAGAACGAAAGATTGATACGAGAAAGCGTTATCCTTCGTTTCTTATTAATGTTCTTTAACTTGTCCTATGGAACATTTGTTGCGTGCCTTGAAGTATTTGCCTGGAGAGCGTAAATGGTCTAAATGTTTTACTGCGTTTCATTAGAGCTGATATTCTTTACCTGTACTTAGACTGCAAGCTGCTAAGCTGTGATCTGTTTTGTTCTGTCTCGCTTGTTTTCTAAATAAAAATTTCAAACTCACCACACGGGCTTACGATATTTTATTTACCGCTTAAATTCCTGTATTCTTATGTCACGTATTATATTAGCAGCTTGCTCAAGTCAGCATTTGTAATATCGTGTAAATAGTGTGAGAATTGTAAGGTTTTTGTGTAAATATTGTGAGAATTATATTGGTTTTTTATTGCTGCATTTCTCTTGACTGCACTAGAACTTTCGTCAAATTTCAAACATACACCTATTTCATTTTAAGTACAAAAAGTGCATATTAGTTCAATTATAAAAACAGACCTATAATTTATATAAAAGTTTTTGCGATATATCTAGATCAGTAAGAGAAATGTTTCTGTTATGATTACAGAATCTCTATAGACGTCTAAACATATATCGCCAGAAGAAAAGTTTGATAAGTTTCTGGATATAGAGCGATATCGCAACTATTGTCAGAGTACAAATGAGAGAAATAAAAATAGCCCAGATCTACAGTATGGTGTGAGTTATCACGACTCTTCTATTGTTTCCTGCAATGGTAAAATCCAATTATTGTGCTATTATTTTGTATATGCTTTTTTGTATGTTTTATTCTGTATATATTCTTTAATCATGACCAAAACGATCGCAAAATTAAATATTTCTATGTTATAATGTAAATTACAGCATCATTTATTTCTAATTGTAAAATAAATTCTGATACCAATATTGTTGTCTATCGATCTGTTGCTTCCTGACATTTTAAATTATACTAGCATGTGTCATTTCGCTTCATAACGCAATAGAATTTGTAGTAAATGTAAATTACGATAAATTTTTTGTTTCTAGGACTACATGTATTTGACGTTGCGCCACAATGGGCGCTACCAAACAATTTTATGCAGTGGATTGATCTGCAAGCATTGGTAGCACATAATACCGTGCAGAATATAGATAACTTGTATCACAAAACAAAAGATACCACGGAATCTATTAATCTAAACTTGATATATTCTGCAAAGTTATTACCAACGGCACGACACGATGATAGGATAGTGAATTCTAATGTACTGATTGGTACAGTTAATGAATCACTATCCATAAAAACGGGAAACCTGCAGGAGGAACGAAAGAATAGACTAGCTAGCTGCCAGAAGGATTTCGGTGAGGGAACAGACTCTAATTCGCTAAATATCAATAAAACAACGGAGCTTACGTATTCGTTTACAAAAGATAAAACCAAAGTTTCGTCTGAATCGCAGAGAGAAATTTGTTACGACGCAAATATCGGTCCGTTTAGTTGTGTTTCAAAACATTCGATCGATACACAAAATATCGGATTGAAAGTCACATCGGATAATATTCAGCATGGTAAAGAAGCTTGCGACTCTAATTGCACCACTTCTGTAGCAGATAATGAGCCACTTAATTTAGTAATAAATTCAAAAAAAAGTACGCAACGCAGTCATACCTACAGTGAGACGAAAAATCAACTCTGCAATTGTTCACATTCGCCAGATGTCGATAAAGAGACACTTTCAATAGATGGTGCCATTTTAAGACAATTAAATCATTCCCCTAATGTACAAAGTTTTTATAATGTAAAGTACAAGAAAGTAGATTATGGTTTATTGAAGCTTTCTGATTTAAATGAATTGTCATGTAATTCGAAAAAAGGCAAAGAATTATTGAAAAGTATCGGTAAATTGCATGTTGATAGTGATGAAGTAAATGGAACGGTTATAACAAACAGTAATTTGAAGCAAGAGAGAGTGTATCTGGACAAATACATCACGCAAATATTATCATCACGCTTCAGTGATTGTAAATCGAAAGCGTCATCTTGGACACATTTACAGTTGAATGTCAAATGTAATAATATTAAGAAAGAATGCTGCAGTGAGGAAGAGGCACACAAGTCAGAAAATATCGATCTAGTGACCGCCTGCAACCCGAGATTAAGCAATTGGGCGTGTTTCGAAATGTCAGGACAGTATCCAGGTCATAGCCGACCACCGGTTGGCACACCTCCACCACAAACTGTCTGGAATCATCTGATGCCGCCGGGTCAAGGTAATTTTAAATTCCAGGTATTTAATGCGATATTTTTTCAACGTCATAATAAATTAATCGCAATGATTGCGTTTCCAGCTCTCAATATCCATCCGACGTTGTCTGGTGCCTCATTAGGAACAGCCGGGTTCTACACACATCCATCCATAGCGCGAGCGTCCCATCTACCGTCTCAACTCACTCCACAACTCGCTCATACACAAGCACCGCCGACATGGCATACACCCACGGTTCCCATTGGTGGACAATCGGCAAAATCAAAATCAGTATAGAAGTTCGCCTGGCTCCCAGAATACCTTAGATCTTTCATCTACATCGGAGATTATGGCGGAGAATTACTCTCGGATACCTCAAGATATTCCCATCAGTTTGACTGCGAGAAACGTAGATAAAGGCAATCGAAATGGAAATATAATTTCACCACCCATACCGCTTAACGGAGAGACTTCGTCAGATAGCGGAATTAGTTCGTCTGTACCGACGCCAAACTCGGTCAGCGAACCAGTTTCGCTATCGACGAAGGAGATGACCACTCCTAAGATAACGGTGAAAAACTTTGAAAGTAATCTAAAGGGAGTCGCCAATCTTCATGATAAGATTAAGGAAATGAATGTAGATAATTTTACGCAGAAAGTGATAAATTTGCCGCCTAGTGTAACGATAGAGAGGGTGATTACGGAAAAAAAGGAGTCTGAAGTTTCGAAAGCCAAGGATACGTTGAGTGTTATCGCGCAAGTGCCAAGGAATGTCTTACCTGTTATAGTCAATCTTACATCCAAGATGGACAAAGACGTTACGGACAGTCCTAAGCGAGAATCCTCTTCTGAGAGGGACAAAAAACATGAAGAGACAAGTGTGAGGTCACCTAAGAATTTGCCAAAGAGAGGCAAAAAAGGTGTTGATTCTTTGTTAGAAAAATTGGAAGGGGGGACTAAGAAGCTTGGGAATACTGAAAATATCGGTTCGGTGATCGTGATGCCGATAGAGGAAAAGGATACGTCCAGCGTTAAAAGTATGTCGCCGGAGCGACAAAAGTCTAAATCGCCGACTCGGGAGGACGAAGTAGTGTCGCCGGCTTTCAGCAACGACGACTCAAATGATAACACTAAGCAACGTAGGAAACGAAAACTGGAGAAACCTGTGAGGTTGAGCAAGGACTCGAAAACAGAGGTCGAAGACATGGAACTTGAGCCTACGGAACCCACGGAACCGAGGATTATTGATCCGTTGTTGGAAGAGACGACTAGTTCTACAGTTCTGGCAGCTAATGTCAAGACGACAGAGGAGCAGATCACCAGAGAAGCAGAGGAGAGAATATCGAATAAGGCAGCAATAGACGAGATCACGGAGGAAAGATCAGAGGAAAGTCAATTGGTTCAAAGACGGAATAGTAGCGAGGATACTGCGACTAGTAACTTGATATCGACAAATCAGAGAACACGAAGAAAATCCAGTGAGGATGCATCGTCCGAGTTCCCGAAGATAATGAGCCCAAAGGATACGAGTAATACGACAACAACAACAAATCCTTTCGTCGAGGTTGAGTCGGAACTAGCAAAAATGTTCGCTGGAATCGTGGAAGCGGAGCCGGAAGTAAAAAATGAAGAATTAAAAGTGGAACTCGCAAACGCACAAATTCAAGGTGACAATGCCGCTGTGAAATTTGAAGGTCTCGAAAATAGTATACTACCGATAACAGATTCTCAAAACGTTCAGAGCAATCCCGTTGATGTTTCTTCCACAGTAGACACGAAACTGTCGGGGAAAAGAGGTAAGAAGGGCAAAATGCAGGGTGGAAAGAGAAAAATCTCCAGGTCGACGGAGAACATTTTTGGTACGACAGACGATTCTCCGAAAGAGGTGAAGAAGAGACGGATGTCCAAAGGCTCGAAGAAGCAGGATCAAGCTTTGAAGAAAACAAAGAAAAATACCAAGATTGATGGCCTGAGGGAGATGGCGTATGATTCTGGTTCGAACGCGAGTTCGATTAGATCCCGAGGACCAGTGGTTCACGTGGAGGGGCCAAGGGACAGTCCGTTGAGTATCCAAGTGGTTAATGCACCCCGGGAAGAAGAGGAGGAGAAGAGCAAGGAGAAACGGAAAAGCGTCGGCAACGGGAACGGAGGTCGAAGCAAAAGGCTTAGTCATCAAAACGATTTAGATTACAGAGGTACGCCTGTGAGATGAAAAATTGTTTCTATGGAAAAATTGTTTCTATGGTTCATTTTTAGAACGAGATTTAATTTATCGTTTATCCTTGTTATCTACAGGTAAAGTTAGCAGAGCAGGTCTTTTCAGTTCAACATTATCTTCGCGATACGACGCGCACACTACGGATTCGACCTGGATCTGCGTATTTTGCAAACAGGGTCCTCATTCTGTTATACCTGGCGATTCGTCCAGGCCGCATCCGAATTTGGCCGGACCGCATATCGCGACTGGAACTTACACGGTAAATATATATACATTCTATCTGAATGATTTAATGCTTCAAATAACTCGATCTCGATATATTTAATTTGAGCAAAGTAAACGTTCTAAATTCTTGTATTTGATGAACTATTTTTATGAATCATCCATGTAGATTATATCTTTAATTTCATACAGGATTATCTGATTTTTTAAATATCACATTGAGAGCATGATCATGATTTTCACGTGATATTGGAATGATAAGAAAAACCAAGTTTTTAAAAATGACATGTTATTTAGCACTAAACGCAATGGGCTATTAAACTGATTCTATATTAATCGCACCGCAGCGTCATAAGTGTGTTGCAAACGTTGTCCAATCAACGTCAAGCTAGCGATTCTAATTGAATCGCGATGCTGCGATGCGATTAGTATAGAAGCAGCTTTAGAAGCGAGTAATTATGTATTAACAGTGCAAATAATACGGTAAATGCCTGCGACAGGTTCCAGCTGGCGTGTTAAGTGACTTATTTGGTCCATATTTAATTGGCAAAGAGCGATTAGAGGATGGCATTTTATCAGCCGACGAACAGGAAATTACAACAGAACAGAAGAAAGGCGGTAAGAACAAGAGGAGCTTGAGGTACGCTGGTCTAGCCGACCAGTTCTCTGCGAAAATGGGCAAAAAGAAGCGAAATTCCGTTGAAAGTAACACAAATGCCATTTTTACGGGTATGACTTTGCATCCTGGCGGGGAGGAACAACGATGGGAGGTGTGGCTTCACGAGCAATGCGCGGTATGGGCAGCCGGGGTATATATGGCAGGTAAGTCATCGAAATGATGGAGGTGGAAAGACATCAGAGAATGATGGAGGTGGAAAGACAAGAAAAGCGGTGGATATAATTATATAGTTCACAAGTAATAGGTAATATGAAAATTGGGATTGTGTTTGGCAGGTGGTAGAGTGACAGGATTGCAAGAAGCCGTGTGGGACGCCGCTAAATCAGTATGCGACTCCTGCGGCTTGACAGGCGCGAATATCGGTTGCGTGAAACGTGGTTGTAAAGCTGTCTCGCATTATCCATGCGCGCTGACGAAAGGCTGGCACCTCGACACAAATCAGTACATACCTAAGTGTAATCTTCATCGAGTTACGTGAAACTCCGGTGAGTTTATGAGCATAGGCTAATATGGAAGTAGATTGTATTTACATTATATCACACTAAGATCCGGCTTTAATTAGATGCACCGAATAATGGGCAATAATGTAAGAAACTAAGTAATATAAATCCGTTTATGACTGAAGATAGCCTTACTAGTTGGTAAGGTATGTTCTAGTTAATAAAGGAGCAAAACATCCTCATGCGATAAAACCAATCTATATGTAACATAACGAAGTTACATCGCGATCGGAATTTATAGGGAAAAGAGTAATCGATGTGACACCATACTTAGATAAAATTTAAAATATTAAAATATAATATATTGTTTGTTGATTTAATATTCTATTTTTTTCTTGTTTCAATACATATAAATCGACTTTCTTATTTGACGATGAATTGGGATCGTGCGATCATAAGATGTTTTGTAATTACTCCTTGTATTATTTTACGTGTATCTGGAACATGAAAGTATAAGTATGAAAATATGAAAACAATTATTATATACTAATTTTCCAGATATCAAGTTTAGAATCAATATGCTCGAGAAAAATATCTTCCAATGTACAAGATGTTTAAATGGAAACGCTATTAAAAAATTGTTCTGAGAATTATAAAAAAAGATAAATAACGAATAAAAGTTGAAGAAATAGATATTCTTCTTCATAATTGAATTTTATTTGACTCTTGGCCTGTGTGGCCTTGAACAGTGGCCTTTTCGACTTAATATAAAGGCAGGATATAAAATGCAAAATTTTTTTAATTTTGAATTTATAGAAAAACTCACAATATCGGTATTGAGGAACAATAATAAAAAATAAAGATGTTTGCTTTTTCACTCATGTTTATGAAAATCTAAAAATATTACAGATTTTCTTAACAACATCATGTACGCAGGAATATGCAAACAGGGCATATTGTATTTAATGCTATCGAGTATGAAATCTGTAAAATTGTGGCAGCCAAAATCGGATGCATATAAATATAGTAAGACGAATAAGTCAGTACCACAAGCGAAAATGGAATATTCCTTTTCTTTTTTGCGAAAATTCAGCATGGACATGTAAGACAAGTGTTCTCTCATGAATGTAAAATAAACTGTGTTGCTACATGTTTTTTTTTTTGTTTGTGTTGCTACATGAATCATTAACTCACTCACAGCATAGTATACATGATGCACATAAAATCTACATTTTTATTACATTTTGATATTAATATATTTTTGTAGCTGCTTTTCATGTAAATTTTTATTTGATTTTGCATGTTATAAACGGGTTGACAATTTCGTAAAGAGAAATATTTTTATACTCGCATCTCGAGCGAGATTAAAATGAGAACACTTGTAAGACTTTAGTATCGTTGTATCTAATATAATATAATAAAGAACACATCACATTGCATTCAGTGATACATTTTATATGACGTCATATTTACTGTCACTTTATCATATTTAATATATCTGTACGGTCGTGAAACCGGTGATTCAGATCCAATGTCTTGCATACGGTTTATTGTTAGCGATTAAATTAATAATAGCTATGGCATTATCACGAAATTTGTAATAATTACTGATTTATATATGTATATTTTATATTAATTTTTTTCAACATAATGTGAAAATTTATTATCGTCATCTTTGCTGTCATTATCGTCATCATCGTTCTCATTGTATTTTATAAGTGTAAGAGGCAAGTTTTCGCTATGACAAATGTAATAATATTAACAGGTGATTCTCTTACTACATCAGGGAGAACTAGCAAAGATCAAGAAAATTGTATAATAATAATATTACATAGAAAAATACGATGTATATATAATATTAGTTTGCGTAGAAAAAAGTATATACATATATGTATAATATACATATGTATTATGTGTGTATGTGTATACATATATATGTGTGTGTATGTATGTATACACATCATATAAATTGAGTACATATTGAAAATAGCCGTCACGTCTCTCCACACAGCATAGAATACGATAAATTAGATGTAATCATTTTTAAATAGTAACTATGTATTCAGAGACGAAGTTATTGAGCGTAAAAAAAGATTCTTTGTACATACATAGTGCATAGCGACAAATGTAAAAAAAAAAAGATTATCTCCGAGAACATTTTATTTAGAAGCTTAAATCATGTTTTAAAAAAATAATAAAAAGAATGACAAGTTCACACTTCAGAAGAAAAGTACCGTAAAGCCTAATTTTCTTTTTTTGTGAGACTTTTTCGAGATCGTTTCGATACTCCTTGACATCAAGATTGGTCTTTATACTATAAAACGGACGGATACAGCCAAAAAGTACCGCTTAGATGTGATAAGAGAGATATTAAAATGTAAACCAAACGCTTATAATCTACAATTGTGTATGAAAGAGAAACAAAAAATTTTATCTTAGAAGGAGTAATTGTAATATTATTATTTGTGATACAAAGAAGCAAAGGAAGAAAGGAAGAAGACAAATTCTGAAGTGAAATAAACGATATATATACATATATATATACATATATATATACATATACAGG